GATGACATAAAAGTCAAGGATCTTGGTTTCACTTCACTTAAAAGCTAAAGCAGATAATAGAAACCTTATCCTAAAGCTAGTGGATCAGGTATCTACTTTTTTTCAGCACTTAACATTGAGACAATAATGACATTTGGGAGCATCTTAACCTAAACAAGTACTTAGCATTACATCTCACCTGGGTCAACAGTCTAGGGTATCAGAGTTAAACTGTGTTACTATAAATTAATGGAAAATGTAACTGCACTTTGCTGAAAGATCAATGTCCAATAGAGGCTGCACAATCAAATCTGTTGCAATGATTGAGGTCTTTAATTGCCTTTCAAAGATAAGGTGGTAATCAACACAGCTTTAACTGATCTTTTTTACTAGTTCAATTACATGCTAATGACTAGTGCCAAGTCAGAATCTTTAACTACTTATACTTATTAAATCTTATGTTAGCAATGAAAAATTACTTAAGCTACACAATCAATAGCATACAAATCTTCATTGCTATATTTCAGTCTTCTACTATTTTATGTGCTTGACAAATGTTTCACAAGAGCTCTCCCAATACCAAGAAGTGTTATTAGTAGTGACCATAGTCTAAAGATTACTTTTCTAATATAAATTAGAGATCAAATTAGATGTTAAATTTTTCCTTTAATAAAAAGGTGGCTAAAATAGTTTCCAATAATATATATTTGGTCATCCAACCCCAACACAGAGCTTTGTTCTGCTAATTGAGAACACTAATACAACTGGACTAAAATCTAGGTAGTTTTTATTAAATTTATTTCCAAATGTTTCATTAGGTTTTTAGTCATGAAATTTGATTTCACATGGAGCCTACAAAATTCTTTTGTTCTGAAAAAGGATAAAAGTAAACTCAAATGACAAATGAAAATATACATAAATTGAACATCAGAATTTAAAATTTCTGTGCTTCAGAGGATGTGATCAAGGAAATAAAAAGACAACCCACAGAATAGGAGAAAATATTCACAAATCATATATCTATAATGGATTTATATCCAGCATATAAAAAGAACTTAAAACGCACCAACCCACCTGAAAAATGTACTAAAAAATACATGTCTTCGAGAAGATATACAAAGAGCTAATAAACACATGCAAATCAAACCCACAATGAGTTTGATTTGCATGTGCATATCTACGTACTTACTAGGATATCTACTGCATATCTACGTACTTACTAGGATGACTATAACCAAAAAGAAGTGTGGGCAGAATGTGGAGAAATTTGAACCCTCATAAATTGTTAGTGGCAATGAAAAGTGAATGAAGCTGCTTTGGAAGTTTCACAGTTCCTCAAAATCTTAAATAAGAAGTTGTTTGACTCAACAGTTCTGCTCCTAGGTATGTACCCTAGAGAATGGAAAACATGTCCATGCAAAAACTTGTATAAGAATATTCATATTGGTATTATTCAGGCAATAACAGGAATGAAGTATGGACAGATGATAAAACAACATTAATGAACTTGTAAACATTGTTAAGTGAAAGAAGTAAATCATAAAAGACTCATATTGTATAATGTATTATATTGTATATTGTATAATTACATTTATATGAAATGTAAAACTCATATTGTATATTGTATAATTACATTTATATGAAATGTCCAGAATAGGCAAATCTATACAGACAAAAAGTAAGTGATTGCTAAAGGTTGGGGAGTGACTGCAAATGGGGTATAGATAGCATTTCTTTAAGGGGTAATGAAACTTGTAAAATTGATTGTGGTGATGATTGTAAAATTCTGTGACTATATTCAAACTATTGTACACTTTGAAAGAAGTGTATGGCTGGTGAACTGTATCTCCATTAAGCTGTTAAAATTATTAAAGCACAATTAATGTTCAATGGGTACAGAGTTTCAGTTTTGCAAGATGAAAAATGTTCTGTAGATGGATATGTTGATAGTTGCATAATACTATGAATGTACTTAATACCACTGGACTGTACACTTAAACATGATTAAAATGGTAAATATTATGTGCATTTTACCATAATTAAAATAAATTTTACGGCTGGGAATATAGCTTAGTTGGTAGAGTGCTTGCCTCATATGTCCTGGGTTCACCACAAAAATAAATAAATAAAATGAATTTTTAAAAAATGGAGTAAAGGAGTCAACTATGATAAAATATAATTGCATGAATCCTGTAAGAAATAACTGAGTTTAGGGACTGGCTGTGTAACTCAGTGGTACAGCATTTGACTACCAGAATGTACAAGACCCTGGATTGGACTGCCAGTGCGCTTGGGAAAACAAAAAAACTAAATTTAGAAAAATGGTACAAATTTAAAGTTAAAATATGTTAACATTATTTTATATATTATAGTCTTAGAATTTAAAAAAAATTATTTATGAAGCCTAGTTTTAATTAAGTAGATGAAATCTCATTTGGGATCATTTTTAGGAGCATTAAGAAAAGGATATTTTTGGTTTGATTAAAATGAGACCAAAGTAAAGCCTGTAAAGTGTTAGTAAATGAAAATAACCTTTCTTGTATCCTAGTTGCTGGATAAAGAATACCAGTTACTATTAGTACTAGGTTTTATATAGTATTGCTTATAGCTATTTTAGTTGCACTTATATCATTTTAAATACAGTTTATGAACATTGTATTATTCCATTATATTATTAATTTATCTTCAGTGATATTTATTGTATCAATTTAAAAGCTGTAAAACTTCATGAAAAGTAGCTTAAACACAGGATTTTGATAAACAAAAGCTTTCTGTTTTTAAAAGCAAATCATAGAAATTGTACTTCTTAAAGGTTTGAAGTTTTTGTTGTTATTGTTGACAGAATTATGAACCCTATAAACCCAGTATTTTTTAGTTAACCTAAATACATAAATCTATTTGAATTCATCTTATGAAAAGAGATATGTCATTAGATATATGATCATTATATGTGTTAGTGATTCATGGACCTTGTTACATACATGCTTTGTAATGTATGAATTATTCAGTAAGAAAAATCACAATAATTTTGTTGTTACTCAAAAATTTATGGGTTAGCAGAAACAATTATGCAGCCCCTGAAGCTGATATGTTAAGGTAACATCATTAACACCACGTAGTATGTTTTTTTTAATAGTTGTTTGACATAACCTTTTCTGCTTCTGCTAGAATACATCAGCATCAGTCTGTCTGTAAATAGAATGTTGAATTTATCAACCACAAAGTGATTCATTTCACTCCCTTTCCATATTAGTACATAAGTTAAAGCCAGACCCCAAAAGTTGTCTCCACAAATCCTAAAAGAAGAATAAAATTATATAAATAAAAATTAATACTGTAGCAAATAGACATAAATGTACAACTTCATATAATGAAAGTGGATATTTTTACATAAAAATATAGATGTTTGGGGCTGGGGCTCAGTGGTAGAACACTTGCCTTGCACCTGTGAGGTACTGGGTTCAATTTTCAGCACCACATAAAAATAAATAAAGATATCTACAACTAAAAAATATATTTAAAAAATAAATGTTTAAGAACTTGATGGAAATAATTCATGAGAGTAGCAGATTATTTCGAAACCTTTTTTTACACCTTGTATTACAGCCCATACTGTTAAATGAAGAACAAAATTTTACATACTTATGTTTCAAAATCTCTGAATTTATAAAGTGAAGTAACCAAAAAATTTGAAACTTTGAATAAAAATTTAGACTAGGATTGGTTATGGTGGAGTACACTTGTAATCCCAGGGACTTGGGAGGCTGAGACAGGAGGATCAGGCAGGAGGCCAGCTTGGGTTACTTATTGAGACCCTGTTTCAAAATTAGAAAAACAAAAACAACAACAGCAAAAACCCTGAAGGTCCCAGGATATAACTCAGTGGTAAAGCTCCCCTGGCTTCAATCCCCAGTATGGGGGGAAAAGTCAACAGTCGTTCATTCATCCAACAAATACTTTTACATTGATTATGTAGAAGACAAAATTTTGTAACTTTATGTGCCAACAAAACTCAGCAGTTCTGTATCTACATGTAGAACTTTTCAAGCCTTCCTTTCTAGGCTCAGAAAGACAGGTTCTATACACAACTGGACGGAAACCACACTTTACCAATGCTTGTTTCCAGCCCTTGTCATATAATGAACGCTCTATGTTGAATGAACATAAAATTTGAAATTAAGAAGAAATTTGCTTTTGCCTTTAATAGCTTTAAGAACAGGATGCTGTAATTGGAGATCATACAGATATTTTATTAAGAATAGCAACAAGTTTTAACATATGATCTCAGATATAATGAATTAACTATGTACTCTGAAAAAATCAGAATCTTGGTGCAGTATTCTTTTGAGACATTTCAAAAGGTGCCATTTATCTTCTCATACTACAGAAACTGCTATTGTAAAGTCAAACTTAGATGGTGTGCAGAAGTAAATGAAATTAAGCCTTAAACCAAAGTACAAGGATCAATTAGACTTACTCTTTTAAAATAGAACTAGAAACAATGTGTTAGTATGTAACCAGGAGGCAAGAAGAATATTTTGAGTTGTCAAAAAAAATGGCAGGGTTATCTCTTGAGGCAGCAAGTCCTCTGTTGTGACATTGAGAGGCCGCATGACAATTCCTTAGGAAAATTCTTGAGTGGGGCAATGGATTAGATTGGTTACACTAGTAAGTTCCATTTAATCTTGAAGTTTTGTCATTCTTGCATGCCTATGTCTAATCCCGATCATGCCAATTAGTTTGCCATTTACCACATTTCCACTAGGTATATAATACCAGGAATCCTGTTTTGAAAAGAAAAATAAATGGTTTAAGTTCTTGCTCCACCATTACTGGTTAAGTTACAGAAAAATCTGAGTCTTCTAAATTTTGGTACCTGCATGTACATAGTAAGTACTTCGTATAGTAAGTAGTTTATTTAACCCTTCAAGGAATTTACCTGTGCCAAGGTCCTTGCACACAAGAACTCACTTAGTCCCCTCATAACAACCCTATGATTTAACCACTATTTTTATGCTTAGTTTTCAGCTGCAGAAACCAAGAAGTCCTGCCCCAGGCCACACAAGGAGAGTGTTCTTCTGATCCCTACACTCTGCAGAGGCCACACTCCCAGTTTCGACTCCATCCTTGTCCTATAATGCCTGGGACAATTGATGGACGTGGAAGCACTTTGCAAGCTATTAATGGCCAGTTAAATGCAAGTCATGTTTTATTACTATTATTACTACTACTAAGACACATAAAGAGAATAATATAGATTTGTTTAAGCATTGAGAAAAGAGAAATTATTATTTCTCTTTTTAACTTTTCTCTTATTAACTTTATTAAGTTGAAATGTAATGAACTAATTCACTTTAGAGGATTTATAACTCACAGTGCTTGGCACATAGTGATGCTCCATGAATATCTGTTGAACTCATCTCTGTCCCAGTGCTGGGATTATTTCCACTGTCCTTTTCCATTCCCGACCAAGCTGAAGAGAACAGACTTACCTACTGACTTTTGGCAGTTTGTTCCTTTCGTCCAAGTCTTTTCATATTCTTCTTTTTCCAGAAGAAATATATAATAAGCAACATGAAGAAAACAATTGTGTTTATTGTTGTGATATTGCTACCATAAATTTTATTTCTTAAATTCAAATTGCTAGGATATTATTGCTGATGTGTAGAAATGCAACTTAAATTTTAAAAAAATGTAGAATCATTGCGATTTACAGAAATGTTGCATTTTGGTATATATCACCTGAATTCCTCTCATGTTAGCATCTTATATAAACATTGAACATATGTCAACTCTAACAAATCAACATTGGTGCTTCATCACTAATCGAACTTCAAATTTTATTCATATTTCACCATTTTTCATTAATACCTTTTTTCTTTCCCATGACTACACTCAGGATCCCCACATTTCATTTAGTCATCACGTCTCCTTAGGCTCCTCTGGTCTGTGACAGCTTCTCAGACTTTTGTTGTTGTTGTTTTTTATGACCTTGATAGGTTTGAAGACTACTTTTCAGGATTTTGTAGAGAGTTGCTGTATTTGTGTTTGGCTGTGTTTTTCTCATGATTAGATTGGGGGTTTGGGGAAGAAGACCACAGAGGTCGAGTGCCTTCTTATTACATCACATTAAAGGGCTCCTGATGTCAACATGATCTACCACTGGTGATGTCAAACTAGATTGCTCAGTTAGGATGGTGCCTGCCAGGCTTTTCCACAGCAGTTACTCCTTTTACTTTCCATTCTCCTTATGTTCTTTTAAATAAAAATTTGTGATCAAAAATTTAACATGTTTTATGCAAGGGCCCACTCTAGTCACTAAAAGAAACAAGTGGATTTGTTGGACACAGAAGACAATATTTGCTATAAAATGTACTAGTTAATGGGTGACTAACTGTTATTGTCTGAATCTTGGTGGTGGTGGAAAGGAAAAGGAGCAAGGGACACTCAAGGCAGGCAGGAGATGCACATGGATGTTGCATTCTTCTTACTTAATCCACTTAGCCTTTGAAACTCATTCACTCAAATAAACCTCATTCGTTCATTCAACAAATATTGTTAAAGGACCCACTATGTACCAAGTACTCTCTTAGGTGGTAGGAATATGGAAGTGAATAAAGCAGGGCTGGGGTTGTGGCTCAGTGGTAGAGCACTTGCCTACCATGTGTGAGGCACTGGTTCGATTCTCAGCACCACATATAAATAAATAAAATAAAGGTCCATTGACAACTTAAAAAAATATATATATATATTTTAAAAGTGAATAAACAAACAATTTCCTTCTCTCATGAAGTTATACAAATGACTAAAAGGTGGTGTGTTAAATTCTGATAAGTGCCTGGAAAAAATAAATGATAGAAAGGGATTAGGAATCATGGATACCTTTATGCTTGTACCTGGAGTGGGTAGGTAAGTTTTGGGATGGTTTGCAATTTCAGTAGGGAAGACTTCAGGTAGATAGTTATATCTGAGTCAAGAATTGATGAATGTAAGGGAATGAACTCCGTAGATATCTGAGGTCAGAGCAATCTAAGCTGAAGAAATGGCAAATGCAAAGGCCCTGAGGTAGGATGCCGGATATGTTCAAGGAACAGTGAGAAGGAGGTTGGTATGAGAGTGACAGCAGGAAATGAGGTTCAAGAATTCAACCTCGTGGCTGAAGTGGAAATTGGCATTTTCATCCTTGGCCTGGGAGTCCAAGGTACTCAGGCAACTGATGGTGCTTATATTCCCTTGGCCACCTGCATCAGGTATGCCCTGTTTACCTCCCACTGAGGATGTAGCTCAGTGGTAGAATGCATGCCTATTATGGGCAAGGCCCTGGGTTCAATCCCCAATATTGCAAAAACAACAAAGAGGCTGTGGTTGTGGTTCAGCGGTAGAAGCACACATGCTTGAGGCCCTGGGTCAATCCCTAGAACTAAAAAACAAAAACAAAAACAAAAAATTTCAGATGAGGTAGGGCCAGAGTGTGTAGAGTTTTAGGCCAAGAAGTCTTTGGCTTTTACCCTGCACAAGATAGGAAGCCATTTGGATTGTTAACCAAATGAGTGACCTGATCTAACTGGCTGGGAATGGAGTATTTGTAGGAGTTGCAAGGGTGAAAACAGAAGATGAGGAAAGGATTGGACTGGACTAGTAGCCATGTTGATGGCAAGAGCTTAAGAGCAAGGTAATAAGAGATGAACAAAAAGCTCTCTGAAATTATAAAATATAACATTTCTCATTAAATAAAATCACTTTAAAACAATAACAAAAGGGATTAAAAAGCCAGCAAAAGACTTGAGTGGTTATTTCTCCAAAGAAGATATACAAATAGTCAACAAACATATGAAAACACACTCAACAGATTTTTACCCCTCACACATCATATAGAGCACTAATCTCTAGGGTATATAAAGAACTCAAAAAGCTAACACCAACAAAACCAAATAACCCAATCAATAAATGGGCCAAGGACATGTCAGAAGATGATATTCAATCAATCAACAAATATATGAAAACATGTTCATTATCTCTAGCAATTAGAGAAATGCAAATCAAAACTAAGATTTCATCTCACTCCAGTCAGAATGGCAGCTATTATGAATACAAACAACAATAAGTATTGGTGAGGATGTGGGGGAAAAGGTACACTCATACATTCTGGTGGGACTGCAAAGTGGTGCAGCCAATATGGAAAGCAGTATAGAGATTCCTTGGAAAACTTGGAATGGAACCACCATTTGACCCAGCTATCCCTCTCCTCAGTCTATACCCAATGGACTTAAAAACAGCATACTACAGAGACACAGCCATATCATTTCACAATAGCTAAACTGTGGAACCAACCTAGATGCTCTTCAGTAGATGAATGGATTAAAAAATGTGGCATATATACACAATGGAATATTACTCAGTAATAAAATAAAATCATGGAATTTGTAGGTAAATGAATGCAGTTGGAGAAGATAATGCTAAGTGAAGTTAGTCAATCCCAAAAAAACAAAGGGCGAATGTTTTCTCTGATATAAGGTGACTGACTCATACTGGGGTAGGGAGAGGGAGCATGAGAGGAATAGACAAACTCTAGATAGGGCAGAGGGGTGGGAGGGGAAGGGCTGGGGCAGGGGGTTAGCAATGATGGTGAAATGTGATGGACATCATTATCCAAAGTATATGTATGAAGACATGAATTGGTGTGAACATATCATATATACAGAGATATGAAAAATTGTGTTCTATATGTGTAATAAGAATTGTAATGCATTCCACTGTCATGTATTTAAAAAATAAAAGCAATTAAAAAATGCTCATCATAGGTAATCATTAGAAAAACAAAAACCAAAACAAGAATGAGATATTGCTATACACCCAATAGAATGACTATTATGGAAAAATGCAGACAGTAACAAATACTGGTGAAGATATGGAGAAATTCCCACTTTGAAGGGAATCTAAAATGGTATGGCCATTGTGAAAAATGTTATGGCAGTTCCTCAAAATTTAAACAGAAAATATGATACAACAATTCCACTTCTGGATATGTATCTGCTGTGGTTTGAATATAGTTTAACTGTATTCCCCCAAAAGTTCATGTGTTGAAGATATGATCTCAGGATAGTACCACCCTTGGGAGTGGTTGGCCCTTGAAGGTCTATTGGTCATTGGAAGCATGCTCCTGAAAGAAATGATGGGACTCCATTCTCCAGTCTCTCTGACTTTCTATTTTGAGTTGTAATTTTTTTCCTTCCTGACAATTTCTCCATTGTGGCCCCATTAGCCATATGGTCCTCACCAGAGCCAGGCTGATACCAGTACCATGTCCTTGAGCCTCAAAAACTGAGTTAAATAAATTTCTTCTTTACAAAGTTAGCTTGCCTCAGGTATTTAATTACAGTTACACAGATTAATGCAATATCCAGAAGAATTAAAAGCAGGGTCTGGAAAAAATATATATTAAAACATTTATATTTTATGCAAATTCATGTATATATTCATTATTTAGTTTTGGTGCTAGGGATTGAATCCAGGTCTCAAGTATGTTTAGCACATCACTGAACTATACCTGCAGCCTTATAAGAGATGTTTTTACACTAGAAGCATTTTTCATAATACTGAAAAGGTGGAAGGCATCCAAATATTCCTTGATGAATGAATGGATAGACACAATGTGGTATACACATTCAATGGACTTATTTTGAGCCTTGAAAAGGAAGGAACTTCTGACAAATGCTTTAATATGGATGAAACTTAAGGACATTATTCTAAATTAAATAAGCCAGACACACAAAAAAAGACAAATATATGATTTCACTTATATGAGGTATTTAGGGTATTCAAACTCATAGAAGCAGAAAGTTGAATGATGCTTACCAGGGACTGGTGGGAATGGAGAAATGGGAAGTTGTTATTTAAAGGGCAGAGATTTCAGTTTTGCAAGATAAAAGTTCTGGGTATTGGTTATGTAACAATGTGAATGTATTTAAAATTGTTGAACTGTATACTTAAAAATGGCTAAGATGGTAAATTTGATATTATGTGTTTTATCACAATTAAAATCTTAAAAAATTCAGCAAATTACTAGAACCTAGCTTTATAGAAATGCCTCTTTTTAGTTAAGTTTATCGGTAAACTGAGGTCACGAGGGGCAGTTTTCGTACTCAGTAGTGCTACCACACAGGTGAACCGCATTGTTTTCATGTTCTCCTACTACCTACCACCAGTTAACACATTTTACTAATTTGTATGTTTTCCCCATCAGAATATAATTTCATGAGAAGAGGAATTTTCTATTACATTTATTGAGAAGTCTCTTTGGTTCGCTTTCTGTCTCTGTGACAAACTAATTGACATAAACAATTTATTAGGAGAAAATGTTTGCTTTGGTTCATGGTTTCAGGTTGTAGTTCATGGTGGTATTGCTTTTCGGCCTGTGCTAGGCAGAACATCATGGTGGCAAGTGCATGGAAGAGGAAATTTGCCTGCTTTATGACGGCTGAGAAGCAAAGAGAAAAAGGAAGGGGTGGAGATCTCAATATGCCCTTTAAGGCAGGACTCAAACAACTAACTTCCTTCTACAAGAGTTCACTTCCTAATAGCACCACAAGTTGTTGATGAAGTCTTTAGCATGTGGCCTTTGAGGGACATTTCAGTTTCTTTAAGCTGTAATAGTCCCTCAAGTAGGAAAACAAAACAAAACAAGGTTTTTGTTTGACCACAGTCAGTCTGCTTTATGGCTACTTCAGTGCCTGAGTGACACCTGACTTACATTCACTATTAAAAAAGAAGGAAAAATGTACTATGTGCAAAAGTCTTACGATTACTTACAACTTCAATGCTGCATGTTAAATATATCTTAGATAACAGAGCTTATTCTAATGGGTAAAGAGCTCAAAAAGTGATACTTTGTCATTTATGATCATTGTGGAATGGTCTTGTATTATCTGTAACTATGATATTTCTTGCAATGATAGTTAAAAGTTTTCTGCAAAATCCTTGTTCAAATAATCAAGGCTAAGTTTTTTTTTTTTAACCAAATAAAGGCTATGAAGAACTGAAATGTGATTATATTGGTTCTGCAAATATTGGGAAAGAACTGAGCCTGCATTTGTGTAAGAAAAGTTTCAGAATATATATGCAAATTTGGCAAATGGAGTTGGTTTTCCCCATGGTACTTTGAATAAAAAAAGACATTTTAACAAATCACAGCCTCATAGAAAAATCTCTAGTTTTGTGGTCTATTTTCTCAAATAATAGGAAATGAACTTTTAATAACAAGTACATGGGGACCTTCAGTGAACGGTTTATTTTTCAAAGGACTGAAGTGCGAGTAGAACGGGGCAATTCCTATAATACCTGGAGGATCTGACTAAATGAATTTATATCTAAGCTATTAAGTTACAATAACTAAAAGGTGATAATTTATCTCTTAAAATGGCCTTCCAAATCAGACATAAAAGAAACTCAGAGAAAATTATGCAAAAATAATTTTTGTATTATACTGCAAATGACCAACATTTAATTTATTTTACATTAATCATCCATTTGAGAGGAAACAGACACTCCATCCCCCAGTTTAGGCAAGATTCATCCCTAAAAAATAAAGCTGATATGTGCACCTTCTGTTAGAAAGCTATGAAGGACCGGAACCTACATGATGCCATTTGTAAACACACTTCTGTATAGGCATCCTAGATCAACAGGAGCATGCACTTTAAGAGCTGAGGCAACAAGGCATTTAAAAATAACCAAGGTTTATGGCTACTACCATGGTATCACCAATTGCATAAGCAAAGCAATGCAATTTAGTTAAAAATATATGGACTGGACTGGATATTTTTGCAATAGTTGAATAAGAGATTATGTTGCTACTACTACAGCTGTCTCCAGGCAGTTAAACTCGGTTCACTTTCTTTAGTATTACTTTTGAATAGAGGACTGTCTGGTATTTTAGGGGTAAGGGGCCTTCCTGAAAAATTCATGTGCATTTTATTAATGTGGGAGAAAGATGATGATCCTCTGGACCTGTGCCTTGGAAGAAGGAATAAACAACCCCCCCACCCTATTTTTTTTTTTGTCTTGCTCTTGCTGATTCAATGCACGAACCTCAAGAATACGTAGATGCATGGCTTGACAAAGTGTGGATAAACGGGAGCTGCCCTCCTGTCCTTCGCAAGCCTCCGTGAAGGCAAACTACGCAATTTTAAGCCTTAACTTGGCTTTTGGCAGACTCCCGACCTGGTTCAGACTCATCCTTCGTTTGTTAGATGTTTTCACCCCGCTGCCTTTAATCAGAGCCAAGAAAGGGCCGTCGCTCGGCCGCCACACGCGGTCACCGGGCGATTCGGTCTGACCAACGAGCAGGACCGGAGCTTTGGGTCCGGCGTAGCCGCTGGCTCCTCGGTCCCGCCCGCCCGGACGCGGGGGGCGGCGCGTCCGAGAGCTGCCCTCTTCCAACATGGCGCCGCGGGAGGCGGGTCCCGCTCTTCGGCTCCCGGGGTTCCGGCGCCGCGCGTTTTGGTTCCGGAGTAACAGTGCTCTCGCCGCCGCCTTACTCCGCCTCTCGTCGCCGCTGCCACCGCTGCCGCTGGACTCGCGGCCTCGGGTGGCGGGGACTGAGCTCTCACGCGCCGCGCCCTCTGGCTCCAGGTGGGGCAGAGGACTTGTCCCCTGACCCTCCTGCCTAGGGCCCACCTCGGCCTTCTCGTTGTCCCGTGGCTCTGCGGCTCCTCCTAATAGCCCTGGACTGAGTCCCCTCCGGTCGAGGATCCCCCCCTCGTCCCTTAAGCCACCAAGGAGGGGTGGACACCTGCCGCTACATCTCCCCCAACCCGGTCCTAGCTCTGCAGTCCCCTCACACCCTCACGGACCGCTGGGAGCGTCACGATTCTGTTTTGCCCTCGTTACAACTCCAGAACCGAGCCACCTCGGTCACTGCCTGCTCCCCAGGGCACCCTTCCCGGGAGACACGCTCAATCCCCACACAACCTGGGCCTGGCTCTGTGCCTGCGGGCTCCTTCCTGATTCCCTCTTTCACTACCTCCCACCCTCTGTCTTCTGCCCTTCACTTCCCTTGTCACCTCTTAGAGCCCATTCTAATCAGGGGCCAGTGGGTAAACCTTGCCCCAGGATGTGAGCCCCTTTAACCTGTAATGCTGTGGCTGGCCCTTGGCCCCTTCCGTGCCATGGAGAACCAGGTGTTGGTGATTCGCATCAAGATTCCAAATAGTGGCGCGGTGGACTGGACAGTGCACTCTGGGCCGCAGTTACTCTTCAGAGATGTGCTGGTGAGTGACAATCTTAGTGTCCAAATCCCGGTAAGGGGGGCCTCAGGGTCATGGGGATTCAGCACACTGACTGATGGTGGCATGAGCTAGTGGTGGTGGCCCCTGTTGGCCTCCAGTGGGGGTAGTTTTGTTTTGTTTTTGTTTCAACCACAACATTGATTAATTGCATTCACTGAAACCTGGCAAATGTGCAGAGCCCAGAAGAAAGATGAATCTGGCTAAACCCGTCCTCAGAAAGCTCACAGACTGGACTGGGACTTACACACTGAGGGAACAGACTAGAATATAAAAAGTTGAATTTAGAGGAGTTTCTCCCCAAATGTTTGGGGAATGTCCCTGGCCAGATTCCAGCCATGTCTTTCTACTGACTTCTCTGAATTTGGTGACTTGTTTGGAAAGGGAAATAAGAGCAACTTTAACTTAATCATGTTTGAGCAAACCTAAGGTGCCATTGATTGCAAGACAGTCTTACCACGAAGAAAGAAAAAAACACTGCCGTTAAACTATGACATGCCATCCCTGTACAAATACTGCCCAATTTCAAGATGAAAAAATGTACAAGGAAAACATGCATCTTATAATTGATAGTGTATTACCTTCAGGAAACTCAGAAGGTATTTTCAAATAAAATTGTGGAATGTATTGTATTGTGTGTAAACTTGTTGTTGGCCTATTCAGCCCCCAAGTCTTTTTTTTTTGTAAGGAGTTACTAAAGAATACTGAGATGAAATGACTTTTCCAAAGCTGTATAGCTTCTGAGTGGAAATCAGAACTCAAATTTCCTTACTTTTACCTATTTTTCCCCCATCTTTGTATCTTTCTTGTCTTCAATTGGCATAGACAGGATACACTGGGCCCATTTTATGTAATGAATAACTGAGACATCAAAGGCAAAAACTGACATGTTGAGAAGTAGGCTGTAAAAGGTAGATGCCTAGTGGAACTTACCTGCAACATAAGAGAGGGCTGAGGGTCATGGATGTAGTTCAGCGTAGAGTGCTTGCTTAGCATGTACAAGTCCCTGGGTTTGATTCCCAGCACTTGGGGGAAAAGGGTGTGTGGAGGATTGAGTGGCAAGGCCTTGGAAGGAGAAAGAATTGTGATGTGGCTTTTTTGATTGTCTTGGACAACTGAATAAAATTTTGATTCCAGTGACTTCATTTTGAATTTTGGATGTCACTGACCAAGTAGGCTATGTAGATTTTCAGGTACCTAAGCCAGGAGCCTCCAATCTTGTACACCATATACCATCTTTCACTCTTGCATCTGCAGTTCTCCACACACTCACATGCACATGGATTTCCTCTCGTGAGAAGCCCACGTTCCTCATCATGGTCCTCTGGGTCCATCTTGATTGGTTCTGGTCTGGCTGGAACTAGCTTCCTCTTTCACCATACCTCCATGAGCATCCTGTGCCCCAGGTCTGTATAATCACTGTCAATTCTCCCAGGTGCTCAGGCTGCACTGTCCTTTTCTTCAGCTAGCCAACTCTCACCTGTCCTTCAAAGTCAAGTTTTGCTTTTCCTCCATGATAGGTTGGTTGGTTATGTGGCTGTATCTGTGTTTCTGCAGTTTCACGTGCTACTCCAGCAAAGCACACATTTGGTCACAATTATTTGCCTGTTTCTTTAGAAGATTCACTGCTAGAGGAGATGGAGATCTTTGTTTCCCCCTATCTCTGCTGCTTCACAGGGCCATGAAATATTTGTTTAATGGTGGAGTTTAAAAGAGGATGGCTGCAATTATAATTCTGTGGACACAGTACTGGGTTTTGATTCAAGAAATTTGGGCTTAATTGCCATCTGTCCCACTAATAAGACAAATTATTTACCTCTCTGAACATCAGTCTCCCTATTTGTAATAGATTTGTGAAAGGTGAGGTTGGGTTGTGGCTTAGTGGTAGAGCACTTGCCTAGCATGTGTGAGACACTGAATTCGAACCTCAGCACCACATGAAAAATAACCAAAATAAAGGTATTGTGTCCATCTACAACTAAAAAGATTAAAAAGAAAAGATTTATGAAGGTTAAGTGAAATTTGTGTTTATGATGAGGAAGATGAGTTTTCTCTTATTTTTATTCATTTGGAACAACAAAATATTATTTTGTGTAGAATAGTACAGTGTTGAAGACCTCAAACTCTGAATCCAGGACGTCTGGGCATAAATTGGAAGTCCTACCATGTGAGCAGGTGGCCTTTTA